GATCGAACATCGCGAACTATGCGCCAAGGTCATCCGCTAAAGTGGAACACGACGTAGACGCATTGACTAGATGCTGTAGAAAAAACCAGTTCCGGAAACCAGTTATCTGGGTCGTAACAATCAATAGGTTTACAAGTTGAGGTGAATGCCTTTTGTATTCTTTCTAGGGTGAAAGACGCACTGGTATGAGAAGAATATCAACTAGCGAAAAGAAATTAGACACCTCTGCGAACTATCGCTAGAATTTCGTTGTGCTTTGTTCCGTTTGACTCGACTGGATTCGATGCGACCAAAAAGTGTCAGTCATATTGAGTAACTATCTGTGGACATCCAAATCACAGTGGTTCTGAAGAAGGCGAACGGGTCCCAAGCTTAGCCACTAATAAACATTTTTGTGACGACCTCATGTTTGCTTATCATTACAATAAAATATAACTAGAATGTTCACTTCACTCATAAAGAACTTCTCCTCTTTATGACTAATTACTTAGATACTCGAATACTTGTGTGGTCTTGGACCGCCTTCACGAAGGGTCATGTAGGTCTCAACGAAGCTTCTAACCAGAATTTTTTTATACCGTAGAGAATATTATCTATCTAGACAGTAATTCAAAATTCAACATTCCTCTAACCTTGGCATGACTATTCAATATGTATTCTTTCACTGATAAGCAAAGACACAATTTGAAAAAGCGTTTATTCGGCTATGTTTCAGAGGTTCTCGTCCTCCCAGAGTTGTGCCTTCTTCAGAGTACTGATAAGTCATGCGAAGGTTAAGTGGAAGTCAGTTTACAATTATATTACTTCGCTACGCCCAAGCTTTTCTGAGACCGAGTGCTACAGGATTCTACGAAAAAAATCGGTTATTATCACCGGAATATCTTAGACACAAACAGTCCTAAACAAAAGGGCATCATTGGGTGAGGTTGCCTCAATCAAGCGATGGCACACTGAAGAAGATTCGCCTTGATACGACAACGAAGTCACAACATCGAGACGACGAGCGAGTGTGAACCGCTGACTCGGATCAACGACTCTGACGAATACGATGACGTCGAGAATTTAGCCGAATAAATATTGGCAACAGCTTCGTGTTAGCTTATCAGTAAAAGATTACCTATCTAGAGAATATTACCCCTCTATCTTGAGTGGGACAGTCTGAGTCCCATTCATTACAGCACTGCTCTGAGGAAGGTGAAGTCGCCGAAATGTGAGCCATCGCCCAACAATGTCCATCTATACGTTTCTTACACTGATTGTGAACTGTTAAGTCACACACATCACCCTTAATTTAAAAAAAATATCTATTTTCTATATGGTGCATTGGCTGAACGAAAGGATTCGTTAGAACTCAGTACGACTTGATGGGCCAGTTCAACTCGTTCAATACGACCAACTCCATCAACTGGCCGTAGTCGCTGACCCCGATTAGCTTGTTCGACTGGCTCAAATGCGCAAAAAATCGGTCAACAACGCAGTAATTCAACTGTACCATTCAAATCCACCTCAACTTGGAACGTTTTTTTCTCGGGTACACAAATTTAGATCCCGTGGCAATATTCTCTATTCGTAATCTACAATGAAGGGCAGATTTTCAATCAATAAAGAACAATTATCACCGCACAGTCACACCATATTAGTAATAACAATACTCCATATAAGAGCATCGCTCGGTGAGTATGCCTCATTCGAGAGATGTTGCACGAAAGAAGATCAGACTCGATATGACGAAGGCACCACATCGAGAAAACAAACGACTGTGGGCATAGATTCGGAACATAGGCTCTGAGAAAGACGAAAACGTCGAACCATTAGCCGAATAAATATTGGTAACAGTCTCGTGTTAGCTTGTCAATGAAACAAGGCACGAAGAGCGGGTTGCTTGATATTTGATACTTGAATGGCCCGTCCTCAATGGTTGTGCGGACCCAGCATAATCTTCATTTTTTCGCAGATTTGCTGGTTGAGTCATTATCGTTTCCTGGAATCCGATAGAACTAGCTGAGAGACAGGCAAAACGAAGGACCCGGATGGTCTGGTGGTGAAGTGCGCTGCTCCCCGGTAAGGACAACAGCGCGAGTTCGTTCCCCATCGCGTACACCTTCGGTCCGGAGTTTTGCAAATATCTCAGCATTATATACTATAACGCATCTCAAAAAGGACAGCTTGATGAACTGGAGATCTCGTTCACTGAGAAAGAGACATCACAATACTTCGTGTACTAAAGATATAGACTAAGTGAAGGAGTAGACGCATTGAAATAGTCATCGCACAACTAAATTAACTACTTGGGAGGTGCGATTTAAAGCTTTCTGGATTATAACCAAAGATGAGTAACGACAGAGAAGGTCTGGGTACATGCTTGCTTCAGATAGACGTTATAGTCAGTACAGTTTAAGCCTGTTCAACCCTCTATAATTCCAAACGAAAATTTAAGTAGGACACAAAGAGCCCGAGGAGAATAAAATTAGGCTAGAGTTCACTCACCAAATCCTCATCGTGAGGAGGTCAAGCGCACGTCGAACTCACAGTTAAACTGTGTCTTCAGCCAACAAGGCTGAATAACTTCGTAACAGACGAAGGTCGATGTTTGCTGAAAATTCTACCGAAGGAGGATCAAGAGCTTGCAACTAGGTTGACCTACGTTAAGGGCCCATCTACTCAAATATGAGGAATGCAGCACACGGGAAGCCTAAGCAACCGAAAAATACACGTCAGCTCAGGGGATTTCTAACCACATCAACAAAAGTGTTTGAACGCCTTTGGAGGAAAACAACAATGCCCTACATGTACCTTGTAAAGTAGACGTAGAAGTCTGACGCTTCTTTATTAAAAATTACTTGAATACCTAAGTAGTTGCATGGTCCACCTTCAGCAAGAATCGTGCGAGTCCCGAAGCAGTTTGATTTTGGAGCAGTAAATGCGCTTGTCTTTGTGTAATGTGCTTCTAAACCATTAGTTCAACAGACTTTTGATAACCAATGATTGATCTATATAGACACTTTACGTTTTCCACCAAATCAATCGTCTAGTTTCCGTGCTTTCCAGTATCCCTACATAAAGACCGCTGATAATGGTCAAATCATTCTTTCGCTCTGGGTTTATGTTGCTTTTTGTAATTTCTACCTATAGTGGTCACCTGTATACTTCGTTATTGTTGAATTAATAGTGCCTGCATAAGTCTGGTACCAGTTTGCCGACCCTGGAGGGATGAAAGGCTTGGTGGGCCATAGGCGTGGAGATCGATTTCATGTGTGTGTTGCAGAGCGCCTCCGACCACTGCTCCATACGCGCCCTAATAGTGCTGATATGGACGTCTAAATATGCCAGTGTGAGATCAGTGACGATGCAAAATATTCACAGTGCATCGCATAGATGACTCCTCATTCTCCACTTTCGCACTTCTTTACACTTTCTCACTGACTGGTAAGTTATTCGTATGACCAAATTTCAAATTCCTAGAAGCTCTAGATAATCGTGGTATTCAACCTAAGGCTTTCCAGTTTTCTCGCCATTGCAAATCAACGATCTTTGTCATTATAGCTTGAAAGTAAATTTCCATCGCGTGGTGCAACCTAGACTATAGTGATGCCTGACCTTGGGTTGACCTTACCTGGACATCTGGATGAAAAGATTAAGCTTCTTCTCAAGATGGAACACCTGACCACAAAAAGGCAGTATACGTTTGGAAAAGAGAGGATTCATGACTACAATTTTCAAATTATAACCAAATATAAAGTCGTGTTTAACGCAGTGGTTAGAGGTACCAAAGAACACACATTTGGTCGCTGGTTCGATCTCTCACCCCGTGTTCATTAAGGCTTTCATCTCTTCGGGATGATAGAATTGCTACCAAAATTGTCTGGGAGGATAGAAACACTAATTTGATGTATCGGTAGTCCTCCGCAAATCATTGTATCTGCCAGGCATCGCAATGCGATTATCGCAACAGTGCTGGACGAAATCGGATGCATAACGCATTCCTCAGAGGTTTATTAACACCAGACGTTTTATCCTTTATTTTTTGAGTATGCTTGAGAGCAATTAGCCAATCAGGAGAAGGTAGTTCTCCTCTTAAAAACGTTACGAGAACATCCATGAAGCTTTCAGTTGTTTAGCCAAAGAACCTCGAACTGTCGTCTTAACAAAAATTTGCGTAATTTGCCCTAATGGTAGAGACGGTGATTGCATGAGTTCGGGTACAGTTTACTTGATCTCCTGTAAGGCGTGCGGAGACGAATACATTGGCGAAACGGGAAGACCACTCTGTGTCCGCATAAAAGAACACCTAGTCGGCAAACGTAAACCAAATACCCTACTAGGCACGCATAGAACCCAGAGACATAACAGGGAGGACTTTGAGTACGTGTCACGATACTCGCACAGGAATCGAGAACACAAGCGCACAAAACCCTCGAGGCGTTATGGATTAATTCCAAAAATCCGAAAATGAACCGCAGTGAAGAATGTCTCTTATCACGCGTGATACTAGGCAGTATATAAGCCTGTTATTTTGATGGAAGGGGCACATTACGCTTCCATGTGAATTCTATGCGGTTGGTCTCCACGCGACATACTCAGTGGAAGACTCATAGAAAGCGATGAGCGTGCAAAGAGGCCATTCTGTGTTTAATGTGATTGAAGTCTTAGTTTAGTGTTTTCTCTGTTTGGTTATGGAGGAGCTTGGCCGAACAGATTGCTGCCAACTTGACCTTTTCAGGTTTTAAGAAATGCAGATTTTTTTATAACACCATTACTTTATTGCCGGCATCTTCCAACTGCGTTCAGTTGTGGACGAATTGAGCATGACTGGATTTCTTATCGATTATCGATTGTTTGAATATGTTCTCGACATTTCTAATGCAGGAGAGAATTGTTTCTAGATTCATCTCTATTTTACAGTGTAAGAATTAGACTTCCATGAGCTGCAATTATTTATTGTCATCAACTGCATACAAGGAACCATTCACGCATTCATCGATAACGGAATTCTTCGATTTTTAAGCATCCGATTCGTCGACGATTTCATCCAGCTCCGACATTGGTGTCACGTATTTCGGATGTGGGGGTTTGGATTGCTTCTTCAAATTCATCTGTACCTCGCTACCGAATTGATTAACTCGACGCACCAAGTGCTTGAAGAATTCCTGTACTTGACGAAGAGTTGCCTGAAAGAGAATGAGAGTTGTATAGAATATCTTCAACATATCTATTCATTCATATTTTAGCCCTATGTGGTTTATCCCAAACAAATTTACATCCTTCTATAGGGAATCAATAGAGATTCTTACGTCGGAAGTAATTCAATTACCCAAAACCACTTTAAGTTTCATGAAAGTGCAGTTTCAGGACTTCCTAAGGAACATGAAGTTCCGTGTACACACCCACATAGAAACGGGAGAACTAGTACTCGTCTTCAATTCTTATGATACGCCTAACTATTTTCGCTATTATTTTGGTGGCTTTTGAAGTTTTCCACCGCCATTTCCTTTGATTGATGAAGACGAGGAAACTAATCGCACTGATCTCTTTAATCGCTTACTGTTCCTCATCGTCAGATAGGTGAAGGAAATGGGAACAAATCCGAAGAAATAAGTACGGACTTCAAGAAGGGCCTTGTAAAAATCAACTGTAAAGGCCTTCGGAAGTTCCTCTTTACATAGGAAAACGGATGAAGGTTGATGTCTCTTCGTGCAGTAGAAATTTGAACTCATGTAGAAAAATGTACCTTGATGTGGTTAAGTTAGTAATGGTAAAACATTGACATCACCAATATGCACTTTTATTAAAGTAATCTTTAGGTCCAAAGTTCCTTCTAAAGCAACTTTCACAGAACACCTGTAGTTTCAATTTTTCAAAGATTTTCTTTAGTGAGGAAATAAAATAACATCCAACTTCGAAGGAATACAAGGAAGCAGAGTGTTTCGTACAAAGTGCATCTTTTTTCTCGGAAAGACCACTGGTGAACGAACAGTTGCTGTCATTTGTCCTCGTTCTATTCCGTTAAATTAACAGAAAACAAGAAAAAATCTTAGGACGAACATCCAAGCTGAAATTCCTGTACTTCTCCTTAAGAATTTCCCATAGTTGTAAAACATATCCGTGAAGGTTTGCATAGTGCTTGGCTGCCTGGCAAGCGAAATCGCATTCCTGAAAATCTCAATTTGAAATGTTCCTTTATTCTCAGAATTTTCCACTTTAACAGGAAGCAGAACAAAACGTGGTCTTGATTAGTTCCTTAGGCATGCGCCATGCATTCGGGATCATTCATGAGAGCGCTATGATGAGTAGTGAATGCACATGTAGTCTATGCAGTGACTTTTTTGGATCAACGATGAATGAATTCAGTGTTTTTCAACGAATCTGAAGATAACGAGGGCTAAGTGAACCCGGTGTGCTACATCGAACCAATGACCTTGTCTGTAGGGGCACCTTTTGACCACTGTTCTAGGCGCGATTATTTACCTACTTCTTGGAAAGACGAGGAAAAGGGGTAAGCGTCCCAAAGGATCTTCATTTTGAAAACGGCTGTTATTTTTTTTAAAATTAATTCTGTAAAATAAGAGGAAGTGCAATCTCAGCGAATCAGTGATACTTACACGAGATGGTCGATAAATTCTCGGCACGCGATCGATCTCAGTGATATTTTTGAAACAGTCGGATATGATTTTTACTCGCTCGTATTCTTTCAACGAATCACAATCGAAATCCGGGTTTCGTTCAACATCAACTACCTGCAATCTCATAAGCTTCAATATGTCAAATTTTTACTGGGTTCTTTGAGAAGTGGGAAAGAAAACGTGAGCGGATCTCGTAAAGAAAGCAAAGGAAAAACAAGGAAGCTTCTTGTGGTGAATTAAGTGGCTTATTTTACCTTCCGTGCCATTAATTTTTTGTTTTTACTAGCTCGTAGACAGTTGTTAGACCAACAGCGCTAACAAATATCTCGTTTGAAGCCAATGGACCGATGTTCTAGAGATCTTACACAAATTTCCAATGTCCTTATTCATCTTTCCTTTTCTCTTGTGTTTTGATTCATTTTTATCCCCTCGAAAACAAGAGCTACTGAAAATTCTCCAGCTTTCTTAGTAGTTGCATTACTGTAAACAGGGCACAATACTAAACTATTTCTGAACTCTAACAACAAGAATTTGACTCGAGTTACTGAGTCGCCCTGAATGGAATCTCCGCTTCGACCAATCTCGTGAATCTATGCCCTCTTTGGAAGGATTTCTACCAATGAGATATTCCTCTGATGCGCAAAGCGAAGAATTCAGAACGTGGACAACCTCGGGATCACCGTGAGAGAATAACTCCCAACCGGCATTTTTCAATAAATAACAAAAGCAGATTCTCGAGGTACTGGCGAACCTATACGTGAACATTCGTCACATATGACATGAGCAGAATAATGAAGGAGGAATACTGTGGACCGAGCAGAACGCGAGGATTGGCCATTTAAACATCTAAGCGCAAGTAACCACAGAAATCTAGGAACTTGCCACGGAAAACATTGTTCCGGTCTTCCAGCAGGTCGATTAGAAATAAGGAGTTTGTCATTTACACCTGAAATGCTAAGAAAGCTAAAGGTAAATCAATAGTAACATTCGCCGCCGTCACAAGATGACGAATCTTTTTCCGATACACCGTTGACGGCTTGAGTCAGTAGTGAGAAGCGAGTGAACACCGTCAGACAAGTTCGTTGAGTGACCAAAGAAGAAACCTTACCAAATTGGAAACATACCAGTGGTAATTCCTAGCACGCTCACCATTCGTTGTGAAGAAAAACCGAGCAAGTTAAGGAGCCAAGCTCAGCTTGTCTGTTGTTGTTTCAAAAAAAGTTTCTCTCAAACCACTTTCATCGCATATAAATTGTGTAAAATAGGATATTAAGGACACTGCAGATAATTTCTACATGTAATAATTAAATTTCAAGTGTACTTCCACAGTATGAAAAACTAACCATTAAGTCTGGAAATTTAGTCAATAGAGTTACTTCGTCAGGAAGCCTTACAATTTGATTGTATGTCAAACCAATGACGGGAAAGCCACGAAGCCGCTCGCCTAAATACAAGATCACTTTATGAATGCAATGGTAAGATAAGAAGGACTGATCAAAACCTTTAATAACCTATTAGAATTTCTCTGGATTTCTTCCTAGACGTAGAAATTATTGAGGAAAAGACAAAAACACTTCTAAATCGTCGGCAGCATTTCCACGTTCAAGCTTATTACTGTGCTAGGGATGCATGGGCACCATAGTGGTTGATCACATGTTTTTACAAGATGCAGCCTCCCACCTCTCTATCCACCAGTTTTTCCCTCCGACTTATACCTAAGACGAAACGGTTTCGTTTCGAGATTGGAAACAAGTTGGCTCTTGTATACAGGAACATTGATGATCGAAGTACTTGCCTCCACTCAGACCGTGATTTCTCCCCCTCTGTTTCATTCGACATTACAAAACATTACATTTGTTTCAGGCCTTTTTTGTAGCAATGAAAAAGCGAAGAACTACTCATAGAAACAGAATAACTAAAGTCAAGTTTGAAGTCTTGCTTAAAGTGAAGAAGCGTCCCTTCATGAAGTAAATCACTGGTGCAATTGCTAAGATCTTGAATGAGTGATATTTTGCGGTTCACAATGACTGGGAGCTAACAATGACTGGATCCTAGTGATCTTCGTTAAAGAAACAGCCGAGTATCTCATTTAATAGTAAAGATCTCATCTTCTTGGTGATAAGCTACCTTTTGAAAAGATATTTCACCAATGTTGGAAAGCAGGAGTTATGTTATACAAATGTTGTTGAACTTGTTCGAAAGGTTAAAACACATGCGAAACATTTTATCATTTATGAGCTTCCTCCCTATCACCGCCTCCTTACCTTGAGGAAGCTGTAGTTCTGTTCGGTCTCCATTATGACAATGTATAACCTCGTCTTCGGTATCGCATTCGCATTTGTCCAGACATTCGAACACATATCCTGGAATACTCATTTATATTTAATTTCGCTTACTCATTTGTTAACTTAGTTTACAGTTCATTTCCAAACAACGGTTCTTTTTTATTAATTTTTATTTTTTTAGCACCACTTCATTAAGAAGTCGACAAGATTCCATCAAAAGCTGTCAAGAAGTTTCTAATCCTTTTCTTCCCGACTTTGCTAACTTTTCTGGTATTAGCGGCTTACCTGGCTTATTGATTGATCGAGCAAAAGCCCGTCCGTTGCTTTATATTTCTTACTTTGTTCTTATTAAGATAAGTGATTGCGATGACTTATGTTGAAATGTCTTTCAAAAGCTCTTCAATGTCTACACATCCGCTGACTCCTTTAAATTATTCGATATCTCTATGTATTCTTAGTATTCCGGTTCTCGAACCACGCAGCAGTTATTTCAAAGGGCCAACATCGCATATAAAAACAATCATATGTGATAGTATTTTGTAATATCGTTTTCAAACAGTGTATCACCCTTACTGGTGCCAAAATTCCAAGTAAAGGGACGGTTTTGTCCTCCTAAGTAGGGTCACCCACGATGTGAAGGAGTCCGAACTTTCATCGGGTAGACTAACAAAATTGAAGCTAGCCAGATCTTTGCAGTTATCGCTGAAGAAGCGCATCATATCAAAGGTGTGGTATTTTTCGTTTCCCCTGAACGAGCGGAATTCCCTTATTACATCTGGCGTGCTACGGTAGACAAATGATGATTAGTGATTCATGCCTCAATAGTTAACAGAGTTAAAAATGACGCGAGTGACATAGGTGGAAATTACTCAGAAAGAAATTATAATTCATGTAACTATTACGACGACTTCAGAGTTCTTAAGTGGGTATTCGAAAAATTGCTGCTGGACCTCCTGCCTTGAATCAAGAAATCTGTAAAAGAATCAGCACACCTGAATGACCTAAGGCAATGTCGCCGCTTTACCCAAACATTCAACAAAGTTCTATCATATAATCTTGCGTTCAAGAATGAGCAGAAAATGAGCGCTTTCATCTCAAATGAGCTCTGGATCATGAGCGGGCACTAATCACGAGACTACTCGTTACGACTGCTTACGTAACGGATAGAGGGTTCCACGAAAACTAAAAGTGATCCAAAGATCAAAGTACATTTATTCATAAACCTTCATGGGTTCAGAAATGCTCCTCGACTTTATTGAAGGATTCGTCGCGTATTTGACTCCTTTTGTAGCATCATCGAAGTAAATGAATGAATATTTCGTTTATACAATGACTCTTGTTAGCTTGTCGAGTGTTTTATTCCTCATATCTGTCTGGCACCAATATTCCAACCGCTGCAGAATAGAAAGTGTGCTTTACCCAGGATATATTATCGGACCATCGACCCTGCTTGTATCCGTAGAACACGACTAAGCATTGATTTCCTTTCCTCCACTACTTCTAATTATATCCACATTTCCACTAATGTAAATGCATTTTTGTCAATTCCGCTAGTAGTTTACAACTAGAAGGAGGGAAAGTGGAGTCAGTTAGAGCCTACTACCTAGAGCGTAGTAAGGATGTGGTGGTCTCTTTCTACGAAGACGGTGAAAAATCGTGATTCTCTATGGGTCCTTCGAATGTAGAGAGCTCTAGAATACGATGATAACGAATAAGGAGTTTAGTTGGGTTGCGTAAAACAGTTTATCGAACATTCCGGAACAATTGCCTGTAATAAAGGTACATGGTCGGGATGGGTAGAATTTTATTGTCATATTACTAATTAATGTGGCTCAAAAATCGTTAAAATAAATCTCACTTGTTTTTAGAACTAATATTTTTTCTACTGCAACACTCGCCAAGTGTAACGATCTTTTTGAAAGCATTACATCACTCCTGAATCACACAAACCTATCAGATGGCACCAAATATTTTTTTAGAATCCATATCTGAGAAAGGAAGGCAAATACGGTACTTGCTACTAAGTGATATCTTCGGATAAAACCAAATCAACGTAAACTTGCACCAATCCCTCCACACACTGTTATGAGAAATTAACAAAGGTTCTCTACAAGCTTACCAAACGTGCACGATGCCAATAGAGCCAGTAATGTGTAGTGCATAGTCGAATATTTACTGTTAGATAATAAGAGTAACATTAAAGTATGAGTATTCTGTCCCAGCACCGATTTATATATGAAGAGGCGGGCCAACTGTTCGAGAAGAGAGCAAATGTCAAGCGCTCGAGGACGTCCGAGCCCGAGTTCTCCTCCTTCTCGTCAAAGCCGTTTACACCCTGAACACTGTAAAAAACCGAGAGGCGCAGGAGGAGCTAGAAAAATGTCACACGTGGTTGAAACAGCAGCTGGACCTGATAACGATGACTCAGGAACAGTCATAAATGATTCTCAGCTGTTCCTGAGTCATCGTTATTAGGTCCACTCATAAGGACGACGTTGCGATCATTGTAAAAATAGCTGTGATAATATTGAAATCCAGGGAATGAGGTGTGCTGTATAGAAATAAAAAAAACCTGGATTTCCTATTTCGGTGGCAGTAAGATTTATCAACTACTAAATTCTGACTGGTTACCTGTCGTCATGATGAGCCATGCCGTTTCTCTCATTGCTCTGATAGGTGAAAAATTACTTCTGAATCCTTCGAAGATTGAGTTAGCGTCGAAACTTCAGCTGCGAGATTCGAACTATTTTTAGTACGAACGAACTACGAACAATTTAAGAATAGATAACCGTTGATGTTGACCTCCACACAACAATGAATTTCTTTGTGATCTATGAGAGGAAGAAGCGCCCTCTTAACATATATAAATCGCTGTGATGATTGCAAAGTTGTATTCAAAGAAAAAAATGTGTGATGTATAATATCAAGCCGATGACATCGAATCCACTTGAAACACTTCCACTTTCTTAACTTAGCTGAGAAACAGGCGAAACAAAAGGACCCGCGTGGTGTGGTGGTGAACGCACTAATCCCCGGAAAGGACAATAGCGCGTTCGTTCTCCACCGCATACACCTGCGATCCGGAGTTTTACAAATATCTCAGCATCAATGTTATACCTTTTTATTTTCTGCCTACTATAATTTCGCGGCAGGGTACTAAGCGAAATACAACCACAACGACGCTGAGATATTTGCAAAACTCTGGGCCGCAGGTGTCTATGGTGGGCAAACGAACGCGCTATTGTCCTTTCCGGGAGTAACGCGTTCACCACCACACCATGCGGGTCCTTCGTTTCGCTTGTCTCTCAGCTATTTCTATCGATCTTTTGCCGCAGCAATCACCGTAGCCGCAGGATTTCAACTACAGCCGCAGCTTAACTGGGTTCTTTGCCGATTTGGGCGCCCCAGATCAATCCCGCTGACGGGTGATTGCTGCGGCAAAAAGATCGATAGAAATAGCTGATAGACAAGCGGAACGAAGGA